AATGATGTTTCTGACAATGGAGACGTTGTTGCTGCTGTTGAGACAGATTCAGTGCTTGAAGTTGTCGAGTCTGAGGTAATGGTGGATGGAGAAATAGTTGCAGTATCTGCCGTAGGTGTTGTCGAAGAAAACGGTGATGTTGATGATGTGTATGATGCTGTCGACAATGGAGATGTCGCTCCTGATGTTGCAACCGTTAGTATACTGGAAGTTGTTGCAGTCGCTGATGTAAATGGTGTTGTTGACAATGGGGAAGTTGCTGCTGCTGTTGAGACAGATTCAGTGCTTGAAGTTGTCGAGTCTGAGGTAATGGTGGATGGAGAAATAGTTTCAGTGTCTGCTGTAGGTGTTGTCGAAGAAAACGGTGATGTTGGTGATGTGGATGATGTTGTTGAAAATGGAGACGTTGTTGCTGCTGTTGAGACAGATTCAGTGCTCGAAGTTGTCGATTCTGAGGTAATGGTGGATGGAGAAATAGTTGCAGTGTCTGCTGTAGGTGTTGTCGAAGAAAACGGTGATGTTGGTGATGTGGATGATGCTGTCGACAATGGAGATGTCGCTCCTGATGTTGCGACCGTTAGTATACTGGAAGTTGTTGCAGTCGCTGATGTAAATGGTGTTGTTGACAATGGGGAAGTTGCTGCTGCTGTTGAGACAGATGCAGTGCTTGAAGTTGTCGATTCTGAGGTAATGGTGGATGGAGAAATAGTTGTGGTGTCTGACATAGGTGTTGTTGAAGAAAACGTTGTAGTCGGAGATGTGAATGATGTTTCTGACAATGGAGACGTTGTTGCTGCTGTTGAGACAGATTCAGTGCTTGAAGTTGTCGAGTCTGAGGTAATGGTGGATGGAGAAATAGTTGCAGTATCTGCCGTAGGTGTTGTCGAAGAAAACGGTGATGTTGATGATGTGTATGATGCTGTCGACAATGGAGATGTCGCTCCTGATGTTGCAACCGTTAGTATACTGGAAGTTGTTGCAGTCGCTGATGTAAATGGTGTTGTTGACAATGGGGAAGTTGCTGCTGCTGTTGAGACAGATTCAGTGCTTGAAGTTGTCAAGTCTGAGGTAATGGTGGATGGAGAAATAGTTGCAGTGTCTGCTGTAGGTGTTGTCGAAGAAAACGGTGATGTTGGTGATGTGGATGATGTTGTTGAAAATGGAGACGTTGTTGCTGCTGTTGAGACAGATTCAGTGCTCGAAGTTGTCGATTCTGAGGTAATGGTGGATGGAGAAATAGATGCAGTGTCTGCTGTAGGTGTTGTCGAAGAAAACGGTGATGTTGATGATGTGGATGATGCTGTCGACAATGGAGATGTCGCTCCTGATGTTGCGACCGTTAGTATACTGGAAGTTGTTGCAGTCGCTGATGTAAATGGTGTTGTTGACAATGGGGAAGTTGCTGCTGCTGTTGAGACAGATTCAGTGCTTGAAGTTATCGATTCTGAGGGAATGGTGGATGGAGAAATAGTTGTAGTGTCTGAAATAGGTGTTGTGGAAGAAAACGGTGATGTTGGTGATGTCAATGATGTTGTTGACAATGGAGAATATGCACCTGATGTTGAAATCGTTTCTATATTTGAAGTTCTTGCAGTCGTTGATGTGAAAGGTGTTGTTGACAATGGAGATGTTGCGGCTGTTGAAACTGTTTCAGTACTTGAAGTTGTTACTTCTGAGGTAACGGTGGATGTGGAAATCGTTGCAGTGTCTGCCGTAGGTGTTGTCGAAGACAACGGTGATGTTGGTGATGTGGATGATGCTGTCGACAATGGAGAAGTTGTTGCTGCTGTTGAGACAGATTCAGTGCTCGAAGTTGTCGATTCTGAGGTAATGGTGGATGGAGAAATAGTTGCAGTGTCTGCTGTAGGTGTTGTCGAAGAAAACGGTGATGTTGGTGATGTGGGTGATGTTGTTGAAAATGGAGACGTTGCTGCTGTTGAGACAGATTCAGTGCTTGAAGTTGTCGATTCTGAGGTAATGCTGGATGGTGAAATAGTTGTAGTGTCTGACATAGGTGTTGTGGAAGAAAACGTTGTAGTCCGAGATGTGAATGGTGTTGACAATGGAGATGTTGTTGCTGCTGTTGAGACAGATTCAGTGCTTGAAGTTGTCGATTCTGAGGAAATGGTGGACGAAGAAATAGTTATAGTGTTTGATGTAGGTGTTGTGGAAGAAAACGTTGTAGTAGGAGATGTGAATGGTCTTGTTGACAATGCAGAAGTTGCTGCTACTGTTGAGATAGATTCAATGTTGGAAGTTGATTCTGAGGTTATGGTGGATTGGGAAATAGTTGTGTCTGACATAGGTGTTGCCGAAGAAAACAGTGATGTTGGTGATGTGAATGATGTTGTTGAGAATGGAGAAGTTGTTGCTGCTGTTGAGACAGATTCAGTGCTTGAGGTTGTCGATTCTGAGGCAAGTGTGGATGCGGAAACAGTTGCAGTGTCTGCTGTAGGTGTTGTCGAAGAAAACGGTGATGTTGGTGATGTGGATGATGCTGTCGACAATGGAGATGTCGCTCCTGATGCTGCGACCGTTAGTATATTGGAAGTTGTTGCAGTCGCTGATGTAAATGGTGTTATTGACAATGGGGAAGTTGCTGCTGCTGTTGAGACGGACTCAGTGCTTAAAGTTGTCGATTCTGAGGTAATGGTGGATGGAGAAATAGTTGTGGTGTCTGACATAGGTGTTGTTGAAGAAAACGTTGTAGTCGGAGATGTGAATGATGTTGCTGACAATGGAGACGTTGTTGCTGCTGTTGAGACAGATTCCGTGCTTGAAGTTGTCGATTCTGAGGGAATGGTGGATGGAGAAATAGTTGTAGTGTCTGAAATAGGTGTTGTGGAAGAAAACGGTGATGTTGGTGATGTCAATGATGTTGTTGACAATGGAGAATATGCACCTGATGTTGAAATCGTTTCTATATTTGAAGTTCTTGCAGTCGTTGATGTGAAAGGTGTTGTTGACAATGGAGATGTTGCGGCTGTTGAAACTGTTTCAGTACTTGAAGTTGTTGCTTCTGAGGTAACGGTGGATGTGGAAATCGTTGCAGTGTCTGCCGTAGGTGTTGTCGAAGAAAACGGTGATGTTGATGATGTGTATGATGCTGTCGACAATGGAGATGTCGCTCCTGATGTTGCAACCGTTAGTATACTTGAAGTTGTTGCAGTCGCTGATGTAAATAGTGTTGTTGACAATGGGGAAGTTGCTGCTGCTGTTGAGACAGATTCAGTGCTTGAAGTTGTCGAGTCTGAGGTAATGGTGGATGTGGAAATCGTTGCAGTGTCTGTCGTAGGTATTGTCGAAGACAACGGTGATGTTGGTGATGTGGATGATGCTGTCGACAATGGAGACGTTGTTGCTGATGTTGAGACAGATTCAGTGCTCGAAGTTGTCGATTCTGAGGGAATGGTGGATGGAGAAATAGTTGTAGTGTCTGAAATAGGTGTTGTCGAAGACAACGGTGATGTTGGTGATGTGGATGATGCTGTCGACAATGGAGACGTTGTTGCTGCTGTTGAGACAGATTCAGTGCTCGAAGTTGTCGATTCTGAGGTAATGGTGGATGGAGAAATAGTTGCAGTGTCTGCTGTAGGTGTTGTCGAAGAAAACGGTGATGTTGGTGATGTGGATGATGCTGTCGACAATGGAGTTGTCGCTCCTGATGTTGCGACCGTTAGTATACTGGAAGTTGTTGCAGTCGCTGATGTAAATGGTGTTGTTGACAATGGGGAAGTTGCTGCTGCTGTTGAGACAGATTCAGTGCTTGAAGTTGTCGATTCTGAGGTAATGGTGGATGGAGAAATAGTTGTGGTGTCTGACATAGGTGTTGTTGAAGAAAACGTTGTAGTCGAAGATGTGAATGATGTTTCTGACAATGGAGACGTTGTTGCTGCTGTTGAGACAGATTCAGCGCTTGAAGTTATCGATTCTGAGGTAATGGTGGATGTGGAAATCGTTGCAGTGTCTGCCGTAGGTGTTGTCGAAGAAAACGGTGATGTTGATGATGTGTATGATGCTGTCGACAATGGAGATGTCGCTCCTGATGTTGCAACCGTTAGTATACTTGAAGTTGTTGCAGTCGCTGATGTAAATGGTGTTATTGACAATGGGAAAGTTGCTGCTGCTGTTGAGACAGATTCAGTGCTTGAAGTTGTCAAGTCTGAGGTAATGGTGGATGGAGAAATAGTTGCAGTGTCTGCTGTAGGTGTTGTCGAAGAAAACGGTGATGTTGGTGATGTGGATGATGTTGTTGAAAATGGAGACGTTGTTGCTGCTGTTGAGACAGATTCAATGCTTGAGGTTGTCGATTCTGAGGCAAGTGTGGATGCGGAAACAGTTGCAGTGTCTGCTGTAGGTGTTGTCGAAGAAAACGGTGATGTTGGTGATGTGGATGATGCTGTCGACAATGGAGATGTCGCTCCTGATGCTGCGACCGTTAGTATACTGGAAGTTGTTGCAGTCGCTGATGTAAATGGTGTTGTTGACAATGGGGAAGTTGCTGCTGCTGTTGAGACAGATTCAGTGCTTGAAGTTGTCGATTCTGAGGTAATGGTGGATGGAGAAATAGTTGTGGTGTCTGACATAGGTGTTGCTGAAGAAAACGTTGTAGTCGGAGATGTGAATGATGTTTCTGACAATGGAGACGTTGTTGCTGCTGTTGAGACAGATTCAGTGCTTGAAGTTGTCGATGCTGAGGGAATGGTGGATGGAGAAATAGTTGTAGTGTCTGAAATAGGTATTGTGGAAGAAAACGGTGATGTTGGTGATGTCAATGATGTTGTTGACAATGGAGAATATGCACCTGATGTTGAAATCGTTTCTATATTTGAAGTTCTTGCAGTCGTTGATGTGAAAGGTGTTGTTGACAATGGAGATGTTGCGGCTGTTGAAACTGTTTCAGTACTTGAAGTTGTTGCTTTGGAGGTAACGGTGGATGTGGAAATCGTTACAGTGTCTGCCGTAGGTGTTGTCGAAGACAACGGTGATGTTGGTGATGTAGATGATGCTGTCGACAATGGAGACGTTGTTGCTGCTGTTGAGACAGATTCAGTGCTCGAAGTTGTCGATTCTGAGGTAATGGTGGATGGAGAAATAGTTGCAGTGTCTGCTGTAGGTGTTGTCGAAGAAAAAGGTAAAGTTGGTGATGTGGGTGATGTTGTTGAAAATGGAGACGTTGCTGCTGTTGAGACAGATTCAGTGCTTGAAGTTGTCGATTCTGAGGTAATGGTGGATGGAGAAATAGTTGCAGTGTCTGCTGTAGGTGTTGTCGAAGAAAACGGTGATGTTGGTGATGTGGATGATGCTGTCGACAATGGAGATGTCGCTCCTGATGTTGCGACCGTTAGTATACTGGAAGTTGTTGCAGTCGCTGATGTAAATGGTGTTGTTGACAATGGGGAAGTTGCTGCTGCTGTTGAGACAGATTCAGTGCTTGAAGTTGTCGATTCTGAGGGAATGGTGGATGGAGAAATAGTTGTAGTGTCTGAAATAGGTGTTGTGGAAGAAAACGGTGATGTTGGTGATGTCAATGATGTTGTTGACAATGGAGAATATGCACCTGATGTTGAAATCGTTTCTATATTTGAAGTTCTTGCAGTCGTTGATGTGAAAGGTGTTGTTGACAATGGAGATGTTGCGGCTGTTGAAACTGTTTCAGTACTTGAAGTTGTTGCTTCTGAGGTAACGGTGGATGTGGAAATCGTTGTAGTGTCTGCCGTAGGTGTTGTCGAAGAAAACGGTGATGTTGATGATGTGTATGATGCTGTCGACAATGGAGATGTCGCTCCTGATGTTGCAACCGTTAGTATACTGGAAGTTGTTGCAGTCGCTGATGTAAATGGTGTTGTTGACAATGGGGAAGTTGCTGCTGCTGTTGAGACAGATTCAGTGCTTGAAGTTGTCGAGTCTGAGGTAATGGTGGATGGAGAAATAGTTGCAGTGTCTGCTGTAGGTGTTGTCGAAGAAAACGGTGATGTTGGTGATGTGGATGATGTTGTTGAAAATGGAGACGTTGTTGCTGCTGTTGAGACAGATTCAGTGCTCGAAGTTGTCGATTCTGAGGTAATGGTGGATGGAGAAATAGTTGCAGTGTTTGCTGTAGGTGTTGTCGAAGAAAACGGTGATGTTGGTGATGTGGATGATGCTGTCGACAATGGAGATGTCGCTCCGGATGTTGCGACCGTTAGTATACTGGAAGTTGTTGCAGTCGCTGATGTAAATGGTGTTGTTGACAATGGGGAAGTTGCTGCTGCTGTTGAGACAGATTCAGTGCTTGAAGTTGTCGATTCTGAGGTAATGGTGGATGGAAAAATAGTTGTGGTGTCTGACATAGGTGTTGTTGAAGAAAACGTTGTAGTCGGAGATGTGAATGATGTTTCTGACAATGGAGACGTTGTTGCTGCTGTTGAGACAGATTCAGTGCTTGAAGTTATCGATTCTGAGGGAATTGTGGATGGAGAAATAGTTGTAGTGTCTGAAATAGGTGTTGTGGAAGAAAACGGTGATGTTGGTGATGTCAATGATGTTGTTGACAATGGAGAATATGCACCTGATGTTGAAATCGTTTCTATATTTGAAGTTCTTGCAGTCGTTGATGTGAAAGGTGTTGTTGACAATGGAGATGTTGCGGCTGTTGAAACTGTTTCAGTACTTGAAGTTGTTGCTTCTGAGGTAACGGTGGATGTGGAAATCGTTGCAGTGTCTGCCGTAGGTGTTGTCGAAGAAAACGGTGATGTTGATGATGTGTATGATGCTGTCGACAATGGAGATGTCGCTCCTGATGTTGCAACCGTTAGTATACTTGAAGTTGTTGCAGTCGCTGATGTAAATAGTGTTGTTGACAATGGGGAAGTTGCTGCTGCTGTTGAGACAGATTCAGTGCTTGAAGTTGTCGAGTCTGAGGTAATGGTGGATGTGGAAATCGTTGCAGTGTCTGTCGTAGGTATTGTCGAAGACAACGGTGATGTTGGTGATGTGGATGATGCTGTCGACAATGGAGACGTTGTTGCTGCTGTTGAGACAGATTCAGTGCTCGAAGTTGTCGATTCTGAGGTAATGGTGGATGGAGAAATAGTTGCAGTGTCTGCTGTAGGTGTTGTCAAAGAAAACGGTGATGTTGGTGATGAGGGTGATGTTGTTGAAAATGGAGACGTTGCTGCTGTTGAGACAGATTCCGTGCTTGAAGTTGTCGATTCTGAGGTAATGATGGATGGTGAAATAGTTGTAGTGTCTGACATAGGTGGTGTGGAAGAAAACGTTGTAGTCCGAGAGGTGAATGGTGTTGACAATGGAGATGTTGTTGTTACTGTTGAGACAGATTCAGTGCTTGAAGTTGTCGATTCTGAGGAAATGGTGGATGGAGAAATAGTTGTAGTGTCTGACATAGGTGTTGCCGAAGAAAACAGTGATGTTGGTGATGTGAATGATGTTGTTGAGAATGGAGAAGTTGTTGCTGCTGTTGAGACAGATTCAGTGCTCGAAGTTGTCGATTCTGAGGTAATGGTGGATGGAGAAATAGTTGCAGTGTCTGCTGTAGGTGTTGTCAAAGAAAACGGTGATGTTGGTGATGAGGGTGATGTTGTTGAAAATGGAGACGTTGCTGCTGTTGAGACAGATTCCGTGCTTGAGGTTGTCGATTCTGAGGCAAGTGTGGATGCGGAAACAGTTGCAGTGTCTGCTGTAGGTGTTGTCGAAGAAAACGGTGATGTTGGTGATGTGGATGATCCTGTCGACAATGGAGATGTCGCTCCTGATGCTGCGACCGTTAGTATACTGGAAGTTGTTGCAGTTGCTGATGTAAATGGTGTTGTTGACAATGGGGAAGTTGCTGCTGCTGTTGAGACAGATTCAGTGCTTGAAGTTGTCGATTCTGAGGTAATGGTGGATGGAGAAATAGTTGTGGTGTCTGACATAGGTGTTGTTGAAGAAAACGTTGTAGTCGGAGATGTGAATGATGTTTCTGGCAATGGAGACGTTGTTGCTGCTGTTGAGACAGATTCAGTGCTTGAAGTTGTCGATTCTGAGGTAATGGTGGATGGAGAAATAGTTGTAGTGTCTGCTGTAGGTGTTGTCGAAGAAATAGGTAAAGTTGGGGATGTGGGTGATGTTGTTGAAAATGGAGACGTTGCTGCTGTTGAGACAGATTCAGTGATTGAAGTTGTCGAGTCTGAGGTAATGGTGGATGGAGAAATAGTTGCAGTGTCTGCTGTAGGTGTTGTCAAAGAAAACGGTGATGTTGGTGATGTGGATGATGCTGTCGACAATGGAGATGTCGCTCCTGATGTTGCGACCGTTAGTATACTGGAAGTTGTTGCAGTCGCTGATGTAAATGGTGTTGTTGACAATGGGGAAGTTGCTGCTGCTGTTGAGACAGATTCAGTGCTTGAAGTTGTCGATTCTGAGGGAATGGTGGATGTGGAAATCGTTGCAGTGTCTGCCGTAGGTGTTGTCGAAGACAACGGTGATGTTGGTGATGTGGGTGATGTTGTTGAAAATGGAGACGTTGCTGCTGTTGAGACAGATTCAGTGCTTGAAGTTGTCGATTCTGAGGTAATGATGGATGGTGAAATAGTTGTAGTGTCTGACATAGGTGTTGTGGAAGAAAACGTTGTAGTTTGAGATGTGAATGGTGTTGACAATGGAGATGTTGTTGCTGCTGTTGAGACAGATTCAGTGCTTGAGGTTGTCGATTCTGAGGCAAGTGTGGATGCGGAAACAGTTGCAGTGTCTGCTGTAGGTGTTGTCAAAGAAAACGGTGATGTTGGTGATGTGGATGATGCTGTCGACAATGGAGATGTCGCTCCTGATGCTGCGACCGTTAGTATACTGGAAGTTGTTGCAGTCGCTGATGTAAATGGTGTTGTTGACAATGGGGAATTTGCTGCTGCTGTTGAGACGGATTCAGTGCTTGAAGTTGTCGATTCTGAGGGAATGGTGGATGGAGAAATAGTTGTAGTGTCTGAAATAGGTGTTGTGGAAAAAAACGGTGAAGTTGGTGATGTCAATGATGTTGTTGACAATGGAGAATATGCACCTGATGTTGATATCGTTTCTATATTTGAAGTTCTTGCAGTCGTTGATGTGAAAGGTGTTGTTGACAATGGAGATGTTGCGGCTGTTGAAACTGTTTCAGTACTTGAAGTTGTTGCTTCTGAGGTAACGGTGGATGTGGAAATCGTTGCAGTGTCTGCCGTAGGTGTTGTCGAAGAAAACGGTGATGTTGATGATGTGTATGATGCTGTCGACAATGGAGATGTCGCTCCTGATGTTGCAACCGTTAGTATACTGGAAGTTGTTGCAGTCGCTGATGTAAATGGTGTTGTTGACAATGGGGAAGTTGCTGCTGCTGTTGAGACAGATTCAGTGCTTGAAGTTGTCGAGTCTGAGGTAATGGTGGATGGAGAAATAGTTGTGGTGTCTGACATAGGTGTTGTGGAAGACAACATTGTAGTCGGAGATGTGAATGGTGTTGTTGACAATGGAGACGTTGTTGCTGCTGTTGAGACAGATTCAGTGCTCGAAGTTGTCGATTCTGAGGTAATGGTGGATGGAGAAATAGTTGTGGTATCTGACATAGGTGTTGTCGAAGAAAACGGTGATGTTTGTGATGTGGATGATGCTGTCGACAATGGAGACGTTGTTGCTGCTGTTGAGACAGATTCAGTGCTTAAAGTTATCGATTCTGAGGGAATTGTGGATGGAGAAATAGTTGTAGTGTCTGAAATAGGTGTTGTGGAAGAAAACGGTGATGTTGGTGATGTCAATGTTGTTGTTGACAATTGAGAATATGCACCTGATGTTGAAATCGTTTCTATATTTGAAGTTCTTGCAGTCGTTGATGTGAAAGGTGTTGTTGACAATGGAGATGTTGTGGCTGTTGAAACTGTTTCAGTACTTGAAGTTGTTGCTTCTGAGGTAACGGTGGATGTTGAAATCGTTGCAGTGTCTGCCGTAGGTGTTGTCGAAGACAACGGTGATGTTGGTGATGTGGATGATGCTGTCGACAATGGAGACGTTGTTGCTGCTGTTGAGACAGATTCAGTGCTCGAAGTTGTCGATTCTGAGGTAATGGTGGATGGAGAAATAGTTGCAGTGTCTGCTGTAGGTGTTGTCAAAGAAAACGGTGATGTTGGTGATGAGGGTGATGTTGTTGAAAATGGAGACGTTGCTGCTGTTGAGACAGATTCCGTGCTTGAAGTTGTCGATTCTGAGGTAATGATGGATGGTGAAATAGTTGTAGTGTCTGACATAGGTGGTGTGGAAGAAAACGTTGTAGTCCGAGAGGTGAATGGTGTTGACAATGGAGATGTTGTTGTTACTGTTGAGACAGATTCAGTGCTTGAAGTTGTCGATTCTGAGGAAATGGTGGATGGAGAAATAGTTGTAGTGTCTGACATAGGTGTTGCCGAAGAAAACAGTGATGTTGGTGATGTGAATGATGTTGTTGAGAATGGAGAAGTTGTTGCTGCTGTTGAGACAGATTCAGTGCTCGAAGTTGTCGATTCTGAGGTAATGGTGGATGGAGAAATAGTTGCAGTGTCTGCTGTAGGTGTTGTCAAAGAAAACGGTGATGTTGGTGATGAGGGTGATGTTGTTGAAAATGGAGACGTTGCTGCTGTTGAGACAGATTCCGTGCTTGAGGTTGTCGATTCTGAGGCAAGTGTGGATGCGGAAACAGTTGCAGTGTCTGCTGTAGGTGTTGTCGAAGAAAACGGTGATGTTGGTGATGTGGATGATCCTGTCGACAATGGAGATGTCGCTCCTGATGCTGCGACCGTTAGTATACTGGAAGTTGTTGCAGTCGCTGATGTAAATGGTGTTGTTGACAATGGGGAAGTTGCTGCTGCTGTTGAGACAGATTCAGTGCTTGAAGTTGTCGATTCTGAGGTAATGGTGGATGGAGAAATAGTTGTGGTGTCTGACATAGGTGTTGTTGAAGAAAACGTTGTAGTCGGAGATGTGAATGATGTTTCTGGCAATGGAGACGTTGTTGCTGCTGTTGAGACAGATTCAGTGCTTGAAGTTGTCGATTCTGAGGTAATGGTGGATGGAGAAATAGTTGTAGTGTCTGCTGTAGGTGTTGTCGAAGAAATAGGTAAAGTTGGGGATGTGGGTGATGTTGTTGAAAATGGAGACGTTGCTGCTGTTGAGACAGATTCAGTGATTGAAGTTGTCGAGTCTGAGGTAATGGTG